TGCAATCCTCAGAAAAAATAAAAAAGGGTAAATGTTTGGCAAACAAATGTTTGCTGGGCCACTCAGAAACAATGGGAATTAGGGAGGACTTTGATCAAACAGGTCTTGCTGGGTTTCTCCTTTCTACCATACTTTACTATATATCATAATGTAGATCTCTGTGGTGATAGCTCTCTTCTTGGATGAGGTCCTCTATCTAAATTCTTTTTAGGCAGTTATGGGGGGAAGTAAAGAGCTTTTCCTGAATCTGCTGGGTTTTGATTGCTTTTTAATTCAAAATAATCTTCATGCCAGAGTGGCCCATCTTGGGGCGTTCTCTATTCTCTCAAAACTGTTCTTGCTGTGCAAGATCTGTCACCTTGTTGCTCTCAGATTACCTGTTTCATGTTATACAGGCCAAGGGGCCTCAGCTACTTTGAGTTGTTCACTTAAAATTACCTAATGGTCACCCTCAAGGTGCATACTTTGTCTAATTTTTCTAAAAGTAGTCACAACAAGTCCTTGAGAAATGATTTACTGACATTAACATGAAAATTCTAGAATGGGATGAGAAGGCAGGAGACAGAAAATTAAACAAATAAAAAACAAAACCTCTTTTATTTGGAGAAATATTGGTGAAAAATACTTTTAAAACACTACCCAAGAAGGGGCTGGGGGCTGGCTCAGTCTATAGAGCATGTGACTCTCAATCTCAGGGTCATTAGTTCAAGCCTCACGTTGGGTGTGGAGCCTATTTAAAAAAACAAAACAACGGGGCGCCTGGGTGGCTCAGTTGGTTAAACTGCTGCCTTCAGCTCAGGTCATGATCCCAGGGTCCTGGGATCGAGCCCCACATCGGGCTCTCTGCTCAGGCAGGAAGCCTGCTTCTCCCTCTGCCTGCCGCTCCCCCTGCTTGTGCTCTCTCCCTCTCTCTCTCTCGCTATCTCTCTGTGTGTGTCAAATAAATAAATAAAATATTTAAAAACAAAAACCAAAAAAACCCCCTAACAATAATTACAAAACACCCAAGAACCACCCAAAAAACTCTTAGTGAGTACAACAGTTTGTCCATTGAATTTGTGGTAGATGAAGTACTGTTTTAGGGATGGGGAGGAGGACAGAGTTACAGATAAAAAACACAGGCTCCTGTGTTCAAGAAATTTATAAACTGTTGACTAAGACAATGTATAACTACTAAGGAAGTGACACAAAGGTACATACAATATCTGCAAGCTCCAGACTTTCACATGGAGGGGACAGTTATGGAGAGCCAACTATTTTGATGTCTCATAGACATCTCAAGTTTTAATAAGTAAAAAACTTCTTAGTTTCCTCTTAAACTTCTTTGTAGAGACCGCTTTTAGACAACAGGCTTGAGCAGTGTAATGTAGAGCAAGGCAAAAGGGCCCACAGTGACCACCTGGCTGAATATAGACAAGCCCATCAGGCGACCTACCTCAAAATATCCATAGGCCCTAACAGACCAATGGGTACTTACAACCAGGAACAGTTACCAAAAAGCTCCGAAGAACCAAAAAGAAAAAATTCCATACGCCATACCTCCTTCACTTTCTCCCTTTAAATACAGCCCCACTCACTCTCTTGTGGCAGACGGTCTCTCCTTTGCTGTCCTGCCTGCCACTCCCTTGTGATGTATTCAATAAACTTTATCTCCTTTGTGGTGCCTTGGGTAAATCCTTTCACTGCCAGTGCCACTGGTTTCCACCTGGTCATTGCCCCACATCTGGAGGCCCCAATCCGATCGGACAGACACCACATTCTTTTCTTACAGTTTTCTCCATTTCAGCAAATGGCATTACTCTCCAACCAGTTAAGTCAGGTCAGATACCTAGAAATCATCTTTCATTCCTTTTTCCCTCAAATCCCACATTGTACCCATCTGTATGTTCTTGGATCTATTTCCATATCTAAAAACCACCATCCACTTTCCCCCATAAATCTGCCACCACCTTAATCCAAACCACCATCACCTGTTGCTTCTGCTGTTGCATTAGGCTCTTAACTGCGTGATCTGGTCCCTGCCCATCTCTCAAGGCTCATCTCACCACCTGTCCTTTCTGAATACGTTCCAAGCAGCATTGGTCTTTCCTTAAGTTCTTGAACACTCAGATGCCAAGCTCTTTCCTGCCTTAGGGCCTTTGTACAACCTATTCATTCTGGAATGTTCTTCCTTTTCTCTATTGCATGCCTGGATCATTCTCATCTTTTAAGCCTTACTCTAAGTGTCAACTCCTTTGTTAAAAAGCAAACCACAGGCCCAAAATGGAGTCATTTAGGCAGAGTCCCCAAAACGGGGCTTACTACCTGACCTAACTGCAGTTTTCAACCTCCCTCAGAAATATAGAAATATAAGGGATTTCCCAGATCAACGCCAACAAGAGCTCTCTCCATCCTATCAAAGGTAATCAGCATGATAAGACTCCCTGCTCTTCCCCCAGAGGGAGAGTGACCTTGCTTGGAACAAACCTTTCTTTTGCTAATAACCTTCTCACCCCACCCTCTTTCCTATAAAAACCTATATTGTACACCTCTTCGGAGCTCCCTTATACTTGGTAGGTAATATGCTACTAGAATCGTTTAATAAAGCTAATTAGATCTTCGAATTTACTTGGCTGAATTTTGTGTTTTAAGACCTCAGAGAGGCCATCCCAGACCAACCTAACTCAAACAGTTTCCCTAATTATCCTTAACTCCATCCATCAAAGGTTTAAGTTCTATTTGGTGAGGAATCTAACTTGTTCACCATTGTAATCCCAGTACCTAGTAATTCTTGGCAAGGGAGGCACTTAAAACTATCTGCAGAATGACTAATTACTGGGTACTTTGTGACCCAATCTTGCAGGGTCAGGAAAGGCTTCCTGACTTAAAAGGCTTAATAAACTGAAAGTTAAGGAAGGAGTAAGAATTGGCCAAGGTGGGGATGGGGTTAGAAGAGGTCTGGAGGTGAGGTGGGTTGGTGCATTTGAGGAACTCAAAAAAGTTTGACATTTCATTGGGCTGGAGCCTAGGGCTAGAGTACTGAAAAACAAAGCTGGAGAGGTAGGCAAACGCTAGATGAAAAGGGCCCTGTAAAATATGTGAAGGAGTTTAGACTTAAACCTGAGGGCAAATAGGAGGCAAGGAAAGGTTTTAAATGGGGAGTGCCCTGACTGCTACTTACCAACTTATCATATAGCCTGGCAATGTGGAGACTGGATTGGAAAGTAACACGATCGAAGTAAGAGCCAGCTGGGAGGCTGGTCACCTACCTATGTAGCAGTCTTGGTGTTAAAAGTGGCGAGAATTGTATGGATTTGAGATATTCAAGAGGCTGGTAATGATTAGCTGAATATGAGATAAGGAAGGAATCTAGACACTTTGAAGTTTCCGGTTTGAGCACACTGATAGATAAGCACTTTTTTCTCTAGGCCTTCAAAGCCGTTTGGAAAAGACCCCTTTTCAGCACGCATTACTCGGCATAGCCTGCAAAATCCCTATCTCTGAGCACCTCAAAAGCTGGAGTAGTGCTTTTCCTCTTTCTATTACCGGTTCCAGACGCTCACCCACATCTAGCTCGATGGCGTAGTAAATGATGAGTAAACGCTCGCTGAACTCTATCAACGGCGCTGCCTAACAGTTAAATGACTGACCTTCTCCCTCTTTACTCTCAAGACCCTTTTACAGAAAAGACTAACTCCTGAAAAAAAACAACATAGAATGCTCTCATTCTCATCTATAACGACACTGAGGACCTCGTTAGGAGTCTCGCCCTTTGCGCGCCCCGAGAATCTCTTCCCACAGCTCCTCACCTGAGGCAGAAGACCGAGACCTGCCCGGGCGACGCTCGGTGGCACAGACCCTAGGACTTCGCGACAAGCCAGGGGCCTTCCAATCGAATCTCCCGCGTCCTTTTCCGCCGGAAGTGACGTTTTGGCAGTGTTTCCTCACAGCCAATCAGAAGAAGGCGCCGCCGAGGGTGGAGATTGAACACTGCATTCTGTGAGTTTTTGGGAACGACCATTTTCGTCAAATTGTGGGTCAAGACAGGGTTTGGCGAATGTTCTTCTCTGGTGGAGTAATGGCACAGTCTATAAAGTTGGTTTTGGGGGTAGCGTAGGGATCCCAGGAAGTGGTGGTAGCGCCCCTCCAGTCGGGGTTCAGCAGGGTGACTGGAAGGAGGAGTGGAAGCTGGGCAAAGGGGTTGGTGGCGCGGTGAAGACAGAAGGGGTGTGGAAGCGGGGCCTGAAACGGGCTACCCCGAGCCGGGTGAAGAAAGGGGGCGTATCCTGGAAGAAGGGACCAGGACCTAACGGGATCCGGGGCCTATCTGGGCCCCGGCGACTCCAGTTAAGGGATGGATTATGTGGGCAACACGGATGTTTGGGGTGATCCATGAACAGAGTACCACAGGAAGTGGTGGCTGACTTAATGGAAGTGGGGTGCAAGGAGCCAGACCGAGCGGTTTGCGGAGCCGTGCACCCCTGCCTCCTGAGTGACCCAGTGCAAGTCCCTACACCTCTCTCGGGGCCTCAGTTTCCTCCTCTGTAAATGGGAGTAGCGATCATTCACGACACACAGATTGCTGTGATGCTTAAGTTAGATGAGTTGATGTGTGTTCCATTATGCCTAGCGATATAGTGACATGTAGAGAACGCTCAAGAAATTGTCATGGTAGCTATTATTATTATCATATGGGGTTTGCGGAGGGCAAGGGGTGTGGCAATGGATTGAGGCGGGCAGGGAATGGCAGGAAAGGTGCGCGGATTCCGGCGGTCAGGTAGGAGGGGGTCCTCGGATGGTAAGGGTCGACTTGGACTCTGACCGCAGTGAAGCTGGACTCTAAAGAGGGGACTGCACGAGAGGAACATGATGAGTTGCGGCGCCCTAGTGGTCGGGGAAGGTGTGGTTTGCGTGACCAGGTTTAGGCGGCGTTGCTGCTGGGCGGAGCAGCTTTGGGTTTCACCGGGGAGGAGCTTATCTGCGGTGGGCGGAGCTGCGGGCTGGGCTCGGGTCTAGCTCCCACCCGCACTGCAGCCGGCAGCCTGAGCCATGGGGCGTACCACCGTCCTGCTCCTGCTCTTGACTTTGCTGACGCCTGGGGCCGCCATCCGTGTACCGCCGGCCATGAAGGCCCTCAGCAGCCTGCGTTGGTCAACCAGTTTCACATCCCGCGGTACTGTTGCCAAGAAGTACTCGATTCACTACATCGAACAGAAGGTAAGGCGGGGCGGGGTGGGCGTGGGGGAGGATGGGGTTTCGAAGTTTCCGGCCTAATAGCCCCGGCCTAGGCACCGTAGCCCACCCGGAATTTCAGACCCCTGATGCCTAGGACTTGTCCTGTCTTTGGCTCACAGCTTCCTGAGGGTGGCATCAAATCTCAGTTCTATTTAAAATCTCTCCTCCCGTTACCAATAATTTAGTATCAATCCTGGTTCCACACTCTCTTCTGTAATTGGCTATGACAGTCACTTCAACTTCTTCTCCCAGAGGATGCCCTAATTCAAATTCCCCTGACCCCCTGTCAAATGAAAATTATTTAATGCCAACTCTGCCTCCTACTCTGTGGTGACAGTCATTCTTTGTCCCTAAGCAGTCTGTAAATACACATTTCCAATATCTTATTAGATAGTATTTAGTATTCAGCCTAAAACGCCAGGCTGTCATCTCTTGCTTAGCTCAAAGTTGATTTTGTAGCCCTTTGATTAAGAGTTTTTAACCATTCCTATTCTCCATAAGACTGAACATATGTGTAGCCCATGCTTGTAGAGGAAGTTGTAGAAGAAAGTCAAGATTTGAGGGTGGGGGTTAGCATCTCTATGGTTCTGAAGCTTGAGTTTAGAATTTTAAAATAGGCTTGATGCCTTTGTGCTTGGCTGAAGCATGAGGCACTCTTCTGACAAGCGTGGATAGAAAAGTACATCCTGTGTAAAATGACAGGATCTCTTAAGGTTCTGTATTTCTGGGAGCCTGTATAAAGATAGGCAAAGATTAGGGAAAGGTGTGGATTAGAAAGAATGCAAGAGTCTGAGGTTTGGCCTTTGGAGTCAAGTAGAACAGCATTCCACTCTGCTAGCTCTGTGACCTTGGGAAAGAGTACTTCTCTGAACCCAGTTTCTTGGGGCGCCTGGGTGGCTCAGGCAGTTAAGCGGTCTACCTTAGGCTCAGGTCATGATCCCGGGGTCCTAGGATCAAGTAGGGCTTCCTGCTCAGCGAGGAGTCAGCTTCTTCCTCTCCCTCTCCTCCTCCTCTGCTCATGCTCTCTCTAGCTTGCAGGCTCTCTCTCTTTATCTCTCTCAAATAAATAAATAAAATCTTAAAAAAAAAAAATCAACCCAGTTTCTTGATCTGGGGATTTGGTGATGGTTAAATGAAAACAGATGACAAGTCCCCAGCAGAGTATTTGGTCCTGAATTTTGAGTTTTGATAGAGGGTTGCATGAATTTGTAACATATAAGAAATTATTTTTAACCCAGAAATTTAAATTACAGTTTATGAGGAAGATAAAGTATTTTATTTCAGCAGAGGTACCAGGAAACAGGGGACTTCTTCTCAGACAACTTACTTAAATTAACTCTCTAGGGTACAATTTCTTCATTTGTATATTGAGAGGGTTGAACAAGGAACAGCATATTACACACTCTATTGAGGAAAATTAAGGGCTTTTTGGGGAGCTGTCTCAGGGTGTTGGTGGGTAAAGGCCCAAGTGGTAGCCAAGTTAGGGTTCTCCAGTAACCCCTCTCTCCCTGAAATAACTTTGAGCCTGAGCATTATGCTTTGGTCTGTTTCATGTATTGGGATTTTGTAGAGGAGTATTTGCAGAGTTTTATTGGCACAGTAAAATTGAAGGGGAACTATTGGAATGAGGATCTCTGAAATCTCTTTAAAAGTGATGAAGGGGTACAGCCTGGGTGGCTCCGTTGGTTAAGTGTCCCACTCTTGATTTCGGCTCAGATCTTGATATCAGGGTGGTGAGATCGAGCCCCACACTGGGCTCCCAGCTGAGCATGGAGCTTGCTTAAGATTCTCTTTCTCCCTCTCCCTCTGTTCCCTCCCCACACTTGTGCACATGTGCTTGTGCTCTCTCTCTCAAAAAAAAGAAACGATGAAAAAGAGAACTATCAGCAGAAAAGGGAGAACAAAAGGGAGGAAGAGACCAAATGATCTGTGAGCCCTTAATTTATATTCCTTCATTATACATTCCTTCCTTGACCACGTAACTATTTAGAAATATAGTTTAAGGTAAGTTCTTTTTCCATTTTTGTTCATTTGCTAAATCTGACTTTACTCAGTCACCTTTTGCCCTCTGGCTTAGTTTATATTTTAGGACACAGATTCCACGTATATGTTTATTACTATAGTAATAATTTTCCTTACATCAACTCCAGTTTTTTTGAGAAAACTTCCACATATGTATTTATTACATAATAATGATTATAGTAATTGCCAATTTTGGACCATAGATTTTTAGTTGGGACTGACTATGTCTGTATAAACTCAACTTCAATTTTTTTTTTAGTTAGAGGACATGAAATACTTTTGTGCCTTTTGATAATAGACATCATTATTAGAATTGTAAGGTTCGGTTTTTATTCAAGGTTGAATTTTTATCAACCTTTGTAATGATTTTCTTTATCTGTAGTTATATCTGTCCAGTTGACCAAGCCATTCCCAGCTGTCCTTATATGCACATAAGTTCCATGAATGGTATAGGTATAAAGGCTTAGCCCATGGCCCTTTCCCTCCCCTTCGCTCCTCAACACACACATACACTTTTAGCAACATAGAACATAGACTCAATTGAATTTTACAGTGTTGGAAATTCTGTCTGGAGTATCATCTCTCTTCTCCCCAAATTAAACTCATACCTGTATTCCAGCTGAAATGTCACCTCTTCTGTGAAGACTTCTCGACTTTAGGGCAACTTAGTTTTTTTTTTTTCATTCTGCACACTTACTATTTTATGTGTCCCCTATAGCTAGGTAGCACTCTCCAGTACCCAGAAGAGCCCATTAAAATATAAAGTACAAAATGAATATTTGTTGAGGGAGTGAATGAATGACTATCCAAAAAAAGCCTAAACAAAGCAAAGTCTACCATCATTTAATTGACACAAGTTATTTTTTGTTTTTATTTTCATTTTTTACTTCTATTCTTCACTAATTATTTTTCCCCTTCTTTCAAAGTCTTCAAAGGTTGTTGATTTAGTAGGAATATTTTTTTTTATTTGGTTTCTTTTATCCAAAGTAACTGAATCAGGAGACCAGACAAAGGATAGTACATCACTTGGTTACATCCGGGCTTTGGGTACATGTGTGATGCCAGGGTTGTAAGGGGCTCCTTGGAATCTATGGCTTGTGGTTACAAGGTTTCCCTTCTTCTCACTACCCTCCATCTCCCACCCTAGCCCCTCAGAGTAGAATGTGAGTCCTGAGGGCATTTTACTGTGTGATGTAGTGGGAAAAGAGAATGGGTCCTTTGAAGCTCTCATTTTCCTCAATGTTACTAGGAAACAATATTTACTGTATTAGAGTTCTCTAGAGAAACAAGCAAAAGAATGTGTTTCTGTGTGTGTGTATCCCTCTTTTCACAGAGATTTATTTTAAGGAATTAGTTCATATGATTATGGAGGCTTGGTAAGTTCAAACTCTACAGGGTAGACTGGCAGGCTGGAGACCCAGAGAAGAGTTGCAGTTTGAGTCAAAAGAGAGCCTGCTTGCATAATTCCTTCTTGCTCAGGAGAGGTCAGTCTTTTTTGCTATTCAGGCTTTCACCTGGTTGGATGAGACCCATTCACATTATAGAGGGTAAATCTGCTTTACTCAAAGTCCACTGATTTACATATTAGTCTTTTCCAAAAAAACAGCTTCCTAGAAACATCCAGAATGTTTGATCAAATATATGGGCACTGTAGCCCAGCCAAGTTGACAGGTAAAATTAACCATTACTTCTACCAAGGTTGTTGTGGGGGTTCAATATGGTACCACATGAAAGCACATGCATAGTGCCTGGGAGATGGTAGGAACTTAAGGAACATAATAGAATAAATGCTGGTTTCTTCCCCATTCTGTCCTAAAACCACAATCCCCATAGTGTTAGCATTTCAGATTGAACCAAATGCATGACAGTTGTGATAATGCCTCTTCTAGAAACTTAGTGGTCAGTAATCTATACTCAACTATTCCTATTTAACTACTGACCAGTGTTTATGTTAGAACTCTGCAACTTGACCCAGTGTTAAGCTCATGGCCACTGACTTCTGCAAAGCCTTCCCACAGCTCCTTCCTTGTGTGCTGTGAGGCAGTCACATCAGTGGGCTAAGCTATTTCTATTTATGTACATCCATTATGGTTCTTTTAGTTCCTACTCCAGGTTCCCCTTTTCCACTCATGCCACAGTGACCCTAATGTCTAGTAAAATATTGATCTTTCTCCTCCTCCTCTCCTTTTTATTTTTTCCCCTCTTCTCCACTTTTTGTTATTGGTTCATCTATTGATGGCTTTCCCCTTAGGCCCAGAGTGTACATCACAAATATTATGTGACTTCTGAATTGATTTCTGTTTTTACCCCTAGACTCATTGCCAGAAGGGGTTTTAGAGATCATGCAGTCCACCCCTTAGATATGATGAAGTAACTTTGATCTAAATTATGAAGAGTCAGGAACTTGATAGAGATTGATTACCATACAAGTTTGAGAACAAATTCTGTTTCTCCCATTAGCTGAGTAACTTCAGACAGATTACTCTGAGCATTTGTTTTTATAATCAGCAAGATGGGGATAATTATATTGTTCATCTCACAGATTTGTTGTGAAATGAGCTAATATGTGTAAAGGACTTAATAGCACTGTTTATATATCACTTTACTCAAAAAATGATAAATATTTTTATTTTATCTTGCGGTTTCTTAATATATATGGCTTTAACTTACCCCCTCTCCACACAGAATAAAATATTCAAATCATCACTTACCATACCTAAAATAGTTATTCTGGAAAATATGAAAATTTGTATGAACTCTTTTCAGTTACATAAATAATATATATATTCCTTTTTATCGTGGGATATAATTTAATATACTTGTAAATAAGGCAAAGAAATTAACTTTTTCCTTGTTTGAAATAATTTTCTTTCACACAAGACTGATACATAATGAAAAGCATAGGAAGCTATTTCTATTATTTTTTTTCTATGCTATTTTGCGTTTTGGTAAATTGTGGC